AGTACTGCATCATCGAAGTCAATGCGAGACTGTCAAGATCATCTGCATTGGCATCTAAAGCAACGGGCTATCCCCTCGCGTTTATCGCTGCCAAACTGGGGCTTGGTATTCCGCTAAAAGAAATCAAGAACACAGTCACAAAGGTAACCTGCGCCTGCTTTGAGCCTTCTCTGGATTATGTTGTTGTCAAGATGCCCCGATGGGACTTGAAGAAGTTCACTAGGGTGTCTACGCAACTCGGTTCGTCGATGAAGAGTGTCGGCGAGGTTATGAGTATCGGAAGAACCTTTGAGGAAGCTATCCAGAAGGCAATTCGAGCTATTGACTTCCACAATCTTGGCTTTGGCGAAACCAAGGCACTCATGTCAATTGACGACGAGCTACAAACTCCATCTGACCAGCGTCTCTTCGCTATTGCAAATGCTATGCACGCTGGATATTCGGTGGATAGAATATGGGAGCTCACCAAGATTGACAAGTGGTTCTTGCACAAGCTGATGGGCTTGAGCCAATTCAGCAAGGAAATGGCCACATATACCACCGGCCAAATCTCCCAGCGCCCAGACTTACTTCTTCAAGGCAAACGACTTGGATTTAGCGATCGCCAATTAGCGAAGTTCTGGGACTCCAATGAGCTGGCAGTGAGACGTATGAGGCTAGAAGTCGGCATAACTCCTTTTGTCAAGCAGATCGACACTGTTGCTGCCGAGTTTCCCGCCTATACCAATTACCTCTATCTCACATATAATGCGTCAACACATGACATTAATTTCAATGATCATGGTGTAATGGTACTCGGATCAGGCGTCTACCGCATTGGTTCATCCGTTGAGTTCGATTGGTGTTCAGTTAGAGCGATCCGCACACTTCGGGAGTCTGGTTTCAAGACCATCATGGTTAACTATAATCCCGAGACTGTCAGTACTGATTATGACGAGGCAGATCGTTTGTACTTCGAGAACATCAACTTGGAAACCATTCTTGATATCTATCAAATGGAATCCGCCAGCGGAGTTCTCGGTGCTATGGGCGGTCAAACCCCCAACAACATCGCATTACCCTTGCTACGTTCAGGTGTTAAAGTCTTGGGAACGTCGCCGGAGATGATCGACAGGGCTGAGAACCGTTACAAATTCTCACGTATGCTGGACGAAATCGCTGTCGACCAGCCAACCTGGAAAGAGCTTACAAGCTTTGAGGATGCCAGAAGTTTCTGCCGAAAGGTCGAGTACCCGGTGCTAGTTCGACCTTCGTACGTCTTGTCGGGTGCTGCGATGAACACTGTGTACTCCGAGGCAGATCTCGCATTATACCTGCAACAGGCTGCAGAGGTTTCGCGTGAGCATCCTGTGGTGATTACAAAGTACATTGAGAACGCCAAGGAGATTGAGATGGATGCAGTTGCGAAGGACGGAACTGTCGTGGGTCACTTTATATCCGAACACGTCGAAAATGCCGGTGTCCATTCTGGTGATGCGACTCTTATCCTGCCGCCGCAGGATCTTGAGCCGACTACAATTCAACGTATCGTAGAGGCCACCAGGAAGATCGGCGCTAAACTCAACGTTACTGGCCCGTTCAATATCCAATTCATTGCAAAGGATAATGATATTAAGGTTATTGAGTGTAACGTCCGAGCCTCGCGTTCATTCCCCTTCGTGTCGAAGGTCATGGGAGTTGACCTGATTGAGATGGCAACTAAAGCGATCATGGGAGTTCCGTTCATTGAATACCCGCCAACGACTCTTCAGCCGGATTGCGTCGGTGTGAAGGTCCCGCAATTCAGCTTCTCGAGACTGTCTGGCGCCGATCCAGTCTTGGGCGTAGAGATGGCCTCCACCGGAGAGGTTGCTTGCTTCGGCATGGATAAATATGAAGCATATCTTAAGGCGTTGATGTCAACTGGATTCAAGATTCCGAAGAGCAATATCCTTTTGTCAATTGGCTCTTACAAGGATAAAAAAGAGATGCTTCCATCGGTCCAGAAATTGCAGAAGATGGGATATAAATTGTTTGCTACTGCGGGTACTGCGGACTTCCTCCAGGAACACGGTATTCCTGTCCAATTCTTGGAGGTCCTCAGCAACGAGGAAGATGACCAGAGATCTGAGTTCTCACTCACACAGCATCTGGCAAAGAACATGATTAACCTCTACATAAACCTTCCGTCAAACAACAAGTACCGCCGCCCTGCCAATTATATGAGCAAAGGATATCAGACCCGACGAATGGCTGTGGATTACCAGATCCCGCTGGTAACGAACGTGAAGAATGCTAAGATTCTAATCGAGGCTATCGCAAGGTATTTTGAATTAGAAATTAGCAACCGTGATTACCAGACAAGCCATCGCACGATAGTTCTTCCAGGGTTGATCAACATCGCTGCTTTCGTACCTGGGATTGGTGCTCAGGGCAGCAATGACCTTCAGGCTGTTACAAAAGCCTCAATCGCCTCAGGCTTCAGTATGATACGAGTTATACCTATGGGCATTGAAGGCTCCATTACCGACGCAAGGACACTGAAGATTGCTCAGCAGAGTAACAAAGAAGGGGGTTATTGCGATTACAACTTTTCCGTGTCGGCCACATCTAGTAACGCCGACCAGATCAGCCAAGTAGCCAGCGAGGTTGGATCGCTCTTCATCCCGTTTAACCATTTGTCAGATAATATTAGCAAGGTCGCCGCGGTTACTGCACATTTCGATTCTTGGCCTACCCATAAGCCTATTCTGACTGATGCTAAGACTACGGACCTCGCCTCTATTCTATTACTTGCGAGCCTTCACAATAGGCGCATCCATGTCACTAGTGTCACGACTAAGGAAGATATCCGGCTCATTGCTCTTAGCAAGGAGAAAGGCCTGAGTGTCACTTGCGACGTGTCGATATATTCGTTGTACCTATCACGGAAGGATTTCCCAGAATGCCAGCATCTTCCCAAACCCGACGACCAGCAGGCGCTCTGGGATCATCTTAGCACGATCGACGTCTTCTCTATCGGCAGTCTCCCGTATCAGCTTGCGCATTCTATCCAATCCAATGCAGACCCTACAGTTGGTATTGCTGATGCCTTGCCTCTTCTGCTGACGTCTGTCACGGAAGGCAAGTTAACGTTGGATGACGTTAAGACGCGGCTGTACGATAATCCAAAGGAGATCTTTGAGCTTCATGAGCAGGTCGGAACTTCAGTTGAAATTGAGATTGACCGTCCGCACACCATCCCCAAGACAGCGTCGTGGTCGCCATTCGCTGGTAAGACCATGCGTGGTGCGGTGCAAAGGGTTACTTTCAACAATAAGACGGTCTGCCTTGATGGAGAACTTCTTCCTCTGGCACCTCTCGGGAAGGATATGTCCACTCATGGCAGTATGCCCGTACCGATGTCGCCGCCTATGCTTCAACAAACACATCCCTTCGATGCTCTCCGGACTCGACGCTTCTCTAACATTGGAAAACCAGTGGGCATGTCGCGGTTGACTGACGGCGAGGTAGACGACCAACGGCCTGCTTCAAGGAATGTGCCAGCCGCAGAAGAGTTCAGTCTGCCGGGACCCGCACGAGCACCGTTCGTTGATTCCCTACATGACCTCCTTATGCAACCCTCCGCCTTCAAAAGCTCGCATGTGCTCTCCGTGAAGCAATACACGCGATCCGATCTTCATCTGCTGTTTACTGTGGCTCAGGAGATGCGCCTCGGTGTGGACCGAGAAGGTGTCCTTAATATCCTACGCGGCCGGGTTCTATGCACCATGTTCTATGAACCGTCAACACGTACCTCGGCATCTTTCGACGCAGCTATGCAACGACTGGGTGGCAGGACAATCCCTATCACCACGACACATTCGTCGGTTCAGAAAGGAGAGACGCTTCAAGATACGCTCAGAACACTTGAATGCTACGGTGATGCTATCGTTCTACGCCATCCGGAAGAAACGTCGGTAGATATTGCGAGGAAGTACAGCAAGGTCCCTATCATCAACGGTGGAAATGGAAGCAAAGAACACCCTACGCAAGCCTTCCTTGACCTCTTCACGATCCGTGAAGAGCTTGGTACTGTACAAGGTTTGATTATTACCTTTGTGGGTGATCTACTCTACGGACGACCAGTGCACTCGTTGGTATATCTACTACGGCACTACCAGGTCCAAGTTCAGTTAGTTTCACCGACGTCGCTAGCACTGCCAGCGGAAGTTCGCAGCCTCCTAAAGGAATCTGGACAGTTACTTTGCGAATCTGAGGAGCTTACCCCGGAGATCCTGTCGAGGAGTGACGTATTGTACTGCACTAGGGTGCAAAAGGAGCGCTTCCCAAGCGTTGAAGAGTACGAGAAGGTCAAGAATTCGTACCGCATCGATAACGCGACCCTTAAGCATGCAAAACAGACCACCCGCGTGCTGCATCCCCTGCCGAGGAACGAAGAAGTTGCGGAGGAAGTTGACTACGATCAGCGCGCAGCTTATTTCAGACAGGTAGGTGTTTGAACGAGTTTCGACGCTTTAGAAATATTTACTAATTTGACTCTAGATGAGGTACGGTCTCTACTGCCGAATGGCCCTGCTAGCTTTGGTCATGTCGGGTTGAAAACGGTATATTTCCGCGTACCGGCCGCCTCTGCATCCGTAGTCAATGTTTTGCGTACACCGACGAAACGTAAGGTACACATCTAGGAGCTCGAAAAGTTAGATAGCTACTTCGTAACCATCCTTCGTAAGGTTTTAATAAGTTACTCGACATATAGATAGGAACACTGCATTAGACACTATTTAGGCTCGCGCCGCTCATGAGTGCATGATTAACGTATAAAGGCATTGGTACGGCGTATGTGTATGCTTTGTATATGTTTACGAAGCTTGTTTTGGATGTATGTATATATGTATATCTTGTACTAGTTATATTTTGTATATATTGTATATATTGTATGTATGTGCGTACCTACGTATGTACGTTGTGTATATAGTTAATTCTAATTTTCGTCATGCGTGTGTTCGTCTCGTTTTGTTGTGTCTAACTCTTCAAGTCTAGCTCGTCTTCTCTTATACCCACACAGCAACGTTTAAACTTTTTCTTTTATATAGAAAAGACCAAATCCAATTGCAGTCTAGTACTATATTTGGTATCTTTAATAACGTGTAATTACGTCATGATGAAATTCATATATTCTCCAAGGTTGAATCAACCCCTCCAGTACCTAAGACACAAACGCGCCAATGGGAATGTTCAATCACTATCAATCCATCTCTAGCGGTTGACGAGTCCTATATACCTTGAAGGGAGCGCTAGGTACCTTTGAATGTAATCACCACGCTTAGTTTATTCGGCTGATGAACCGATTCGCCTACCGCCCAATCATCTCATCACCGCGACTCGTACGACTTACCGATCGCCTTGCTTGCGAACTACTCACCTACCGCGCAATGGCAACGTCGTCATCCCCTCTAGGCCCGGCGCCCTGGAGACAGCTCTTCCTAGAACATGTCCAGGCGATGGCATCGCCGGAATTCACTCTAAGCACAGTCCGGAAAACCTCTTCCCCGTCTGGCACCGTCTACTCACCGCGTGCTCGCACGTGCGTCTTCCGCGGCTTGTTCGCGGGGTTACCGGCGAATCCTAAGAACGACGCCGAGCTGAACCCGGACGTCTACGAGACGGACTTCCCGACGTTCACGACGGACTGCCGGATGGACAAGATGGCGGAGCTCTTCGGCGTGGGGGAGACTAGCGGGAAGCTCCGGGGCTCGGGGGGCGGCGCGCCTGTTGAGGCTGTCTTCTGGGTTAGGGAGACGGGTACTCAGTGGCGCGTCCGCGGGAAGGCGTATGTCCTCGCCCCGGACGTCGAGGACTCGTCTGAGGGGAAACATGTCATATCTTTGCTGGCAGCGCGGATGCGACGTAAGGGCGCTGGCAAGGAATGGAGTTTTAGCAGGGAAATCACGGCGCACTTTGGCAATCTGGGTCCCCTGATGAGAGGGTCGTTCCGGAACCCGCCTTCTGGCACGCCGGTGGCGCTGCCGGTGGAAGACGATAGGTTGAAGTTGGGGCAGAAGGTGACGGATCTTAATGACGAGGTGGCGAGGGCGAATTTCAGAGTCGTGGTTATTGTGCCGGAGGGTATCGACCGCACGGATCTGAACGATCCGGAGCGTGGCCGTAGGTGGTTGTATACGTTTGTTGGAAGTAAGTCGGAGCCTACGGCGCCGGGAGGGTTGGTGGAAGATGGGTGGGAGATGGTTGAGGTTTGGCCTTAGCCGGTGCGGGAGGAAGAGACTAAGTCCATGACGGCTACGTATGTAGAAGAGGTCCTCGGTTGTATGGAAACCCTTATCATGAAATATCTATCTGGTTACCTTGTTGGTCACCTCGACTGGTGAGGAAGGGTCATGGACCCTACGTACGGTATAGTGGTGTATATGCATAGCTCCGTCTTATCGAGGTTCTTCTACATACTACCTCTTACTTACGGGCATTATCGTATGTACATACATACCTAACACACCTACATACATGTGTGTGTAAGAGTCTTGGCATGATCAGATCCATCACAGCCCTGTAAGTTTCGAACATGTGATGTGATACGTAGAAGGGAATGTTTCCTCCCGGGCCGAGCACATGGCAATCGGTCTCGCTCTATATATCCGCGGACGGGATGCCGTGTGCTAAACTAGACCTTACACTCCGGCATACTACGTAATGTAGGTGCGGAACATGAGGTACATACATACATACATACATACATACATACCATAGATGATCCCATATTTAGCCTTGCGGTTTTATGACCTCGTGGTGCGAGGCTGGGCAGGGGTAAAAACGGCGATTTTTTAAATTGCTCTCTTGTCACATTACTTCTTTTTTCCTTCCCCTGCTATGTATTAAGAGTTGGGTAGCGAGTGAAATTAATCGCACCATGCCCGGTGGGCATATTACTAGAATGCCCATTGTACTGTCTGTTGCTTTGCAGGATAACTCTGAGGATCTAGGGGAAGGATCGTCTAGTGCTTATGGTTCGAAAAACCGATGCTTTCTTTTCGTAGGTCTTAACACATGTAAATATTTCGTTTCGTCGATTTGGCCTAGATACACTACGAATTACTACCGAACGGTATTGGAGAAACATAATTGTGGACAGGTACCTAAGGTACTTATGTATGTAGTGTATGTATATTTCTTCCAATTATTCTACTATGTACATTAGGTAGTGTTAAGGGATGTGATGTCTCGGTACGGGAGTTTTAAACACCCTTGACTGCTGGGCTTCGGATCTAACACACAGCATCTTACGGATGTTTTAGCGCAGAATGTCAAAAGTGGGGGGACAGAAGAATAAAAATGCTTCCATTTGGAAGCTTTCAGGCGTTTTGTCTGAAGCATGGGGGCACCATCGCGACTTTCCCACGTGTTCGAAGCCGGGGTCCGTCCCGAGGCGGGGCGGGAAGAAGAAGAAGAGAAGAAAAGGCTGGGTGCAATTTAAATATATAGGTAGGTATGTATTTTGACTTTGAGTCTTGGCAATATATACATGTTTTATTATGAGGCTAGGGCCTAGAATAACATGTACCAGTATCCGGTATTTACATGTACATCTTCAAGTACCTAATTATCCGAACATCTTTTCTTGCTTTTGTCGCCTTGTTTTGCTTCCGGATATGGAATGTACATAGCCGACTGCAACCCCTTTTCTTAGGTACATACATACCTTATCTGGCAGTTTGCGAATAACTGATTGCCCCCACCGCGAGCCGGCCGGCAGGCAAAAAGCATCGTGATCTAAATTCGGGGAATGCTTTTTTTTTTTTTTTTATAGAACGGGCTTTGCTTTTGAGTGTGTTATGAAGCTTTTATGTTGTGTTTTATTAAATTTTCAGGGTTTGCCTTAGGTAATGTTAATGAGCACAGCGCCTCAATGATGATATATATCTTATAAACCCCTTATGAGGCGAATCGTACTACCATATGACACGAATATGTAGTGTATGTGTTCTTACATACGTAGAGCTTTATATTTTCGAGCGGGGTTTGACGCGAAGCAGCGAAGAGGTAACATAGTGATCCCATACGTATGCACTTTATATGTATTGCTAGGTCATGTTTCAGGCATAAGCCAATCCGATATGAATGTGAATATGTATGGCACGAATTCGATCGGTAGGATGGACTGTGCATATTCACCGCTTAATTCATGTATGTATAATCCGTATGCAAAGACAACTATGCATGGCTCCCCAACCACATTGGGCAATTGCATCGATATTAATCCGTACAATTTATATTATACGACGACGAATACTCAGGTGATGTAAGAGGCTGTAGTGTATGTACGTATGCAAATATCGTAAGTACATACATAAGGCTAGGTATTTATGTAAGTATATCTTCAGGATAGATATCTACATGTACAGTATGATAGATATGAACGAGTCTAATACATAGATGATATTTAGTTTCATATATATCTCCTTATAACCGAAACATCATCATCTCATTCATTATCCTACCAAAATACCGAGGCAAGCAGGCAAACAACCTATCATACAAGTAAATGTAGGTGATATGTCTCGTTGATCTCTGAAAGCATATTCTCGATGCAAGCCAACTCATTGTTATATCCTGTTTAGGCACTGTATCTCCGGTCACCCCCCATCTTACGCCGCAGCTACATGTGCAGTACTACTACGACACAAGGCTATTCCCGTCCTCTCTCACGCTCATACCACATTACGCCCCCAGCGTCTACTACAGTAGTGTCCAACCGCTAAGGACGGTCCCGCATGTGCATTGACATGCATCGTGTTAGCTAGCGCAAAACCTTTGCGACCTGTCACGGACCCCATACGAGTAACTCGATGGTGGCCGGCGCCGAGTTGCCGCCAATCGCCAAACGGTCAACTGCAACTTGTTGATCAACTTGATCCAAGGCAGATGCGGCCGGCTTATCCTTAGGCTGAGAATCCCCCCTTTGGCAGTGGCGTATTCCGATGGGGTCCGAAAGGTCTCTGTCCAAGTCTTGTCGCAAGACTTTTTTTATATGGGAATTTTCTTGTCTTCTCCACTATGGTCTCATTATTTACATGAAATCCCGTAACGGATGCGTGACTCCCGCCTCTAATCTGCAAAGAAGACCGTGCTGCATGTGGCACGTACGCATTATTGTATGTAGAGTGGTATGCCCCCAAAGCTGCTAACGACCTTGCGAGCTTTATATCAGTAACGGGTGAGAAATGTAGAGAGGTTTGGCTAGCTCAAGTTAGAAACGTCTCTTCCGATCTACTTCTTAGCATGGAGATATGTGGAATGGAGACATATCTTGAGGAATAAGCTGTTCGCATTACTCAGATAGGTCAATCACTAATAAGGCCACGTTGATACCCTCCTTCAACTTTGCTACTATGTATGAAGCGTGTAAACCACACCGGCCATGTGGACGTTCCCTTTTCTGACCGAGGGCCGAAAAAAGTAGCAAAATGCAATACCTACTTCGTATACAGCTTTGCTTCCTTCGCGGACTTCGTGTAACTCGAATGTGAGCATCTGCCCCAGCCGCTCCCATAGGAATTACTACCACGGGCAGGAGAGAATGTCCAAAATAAGAGAACGTCCATATTCGAGAGAGGGCCAAAGTCGTTTTTTAATAAACTAGAACGGCAGCCCGTTAATTAGTCGCCGATCAACCCGTTAAAAGAGAAAAACTTGCAGGCGGGCGCCAGTGGACAAGGGTTCTTTACCGCTAGGTGCCCTGGTCGTGCATCTACTAGCTCTGGTTTAGGATGTACATACCTCGTGAGGTAGGTACCTAACTAAATGTACATTATCTCAGTTCGCCGTAGAGTCCCGATCAAGTATGTACGTACCTAATGTACCTAGGTACATCTTCCATACAATTAACTCCAGCCTACCTAACAATTAGTCCCCTGCTTCCTTGGGCACTTAACATGCCGCGGCTGGCAAAGCCCCAGGCTAAGATAGTACAATATTATTATGGTAGGTACAACCTTTAATATAGGTAGTACATGTATATTATGGATCCCAGGAAGCAAGCCCAGAAATACATAATCGTACCGTAACTGCTTTTAAACCAACCAGCATATGTATCTCGATACCCCACAGAATTGCCAATTCTCATAATCTTCCTTCGATATCAACTCTGTTTCCACTTGATCCGATTCCTTCCTTTTTCTCCCCGCCATATCCGCCTGAATTAACCATCCCTTCTCTTGATTCGAAGAGAAATTGATCAAGTTTTTGTGACGTTTATATTACATCGACTAAACAATATTCTAATTGGTTAATATTCGAGAGACGAGACATCGAATTGGCCTGCTCAGGTCTAAATTGTAGCATTGCAGCGTCGAGTTCGTTAGGTAGCTCAGGTGCCCATCGTGCATGGGCTTGGCTAGATGTCATGACCAGTGACATATCAACTTAACAACCGCCTAGCCTCCCTTTTTACCTACCCTGTTCACCTCCTCACCGACTCCTCTACCTCCCAAGTAGGAGTCTGATGTCAGGGTACGGTCACATATCTGCTTCTTAGCTTCAATCTCGAACAAAATACAACATATTTACATTGATATCTATCCAGAATGGCGACAGATTCCTTGAAAGCCCTAATTACTAACATTCCCGACTGGCTTAAACGCCTCGAGGAGCTCAATGGACAAATCGATCAGCGCCAGCAGGATCTGGCTATGCTACCTGAGAACCAACCCAAGTCATCAGCTCGATCTATTAGGAATAAGGGATCAACAGAATCCCTAAGACCGAGGGATGAAGGCGCACCCGGCCAGATACTAGACACGATACGCGTCTCGACGCCACCTCCCCTAGCCCCGAATGAAACTCGACAGCTAAACAGCGGTGCTGAGGTACCCTCGAGTCCCGTGAGTGAGCCGCGATCGAACACCTCCCTTCAACGTCAGACCAACGAGGTCATGGCAACGGCACAGCGACGAGCGCGCGCCGTTGTTCGGAAGAAGCCGAAGACCGAATCTATGATGAGCACCGAGAACACTATCCAAAATTACAGGTCACGGAATATGATCATCGTATACTACGACAGCTACGTACAGTCATTCTTTGAGGAGTTAGTCAAGTTCGTGTCGATGCAGCGCAATGCCATGCGTAAAGCCAAGATGGCTGCCAAAGTGGCCCGCATCAGACGTTTAGCCGAGATTGAGATGCCCGATGATGACGAGGAGGAGGACAGACCGGGTAGTGGGAATGGTGAACTGAAGCCCAGGGATAATCTCATCGCCATCGCCGCCGACGCCACAGCCCTACAAGCTAAGGAAGAGTCGGCGGAAGATATTAAGCTCCGCTTCAAAAGTACTCGACAGATGGGACCACGAAACGTGGTTGCCGGTAGGGTGAGTGCGCGGGTGACCCGATCAGGTCTTAATGGCGGACTAGGCGCATTCCAGGATAGGGGCGATATCTGGGAGGAGCTGGACAAAGGCCTCGAGTTCGTCCAGGGTATGTGTGAACAAGGAGCACATCAATTTCTTCGAGACGGTGACTGCGCCGAAGAGATCGAGAAGATTAAAGCGCGCCTTGCGTTGACGAGGGAGGCTGCCGACAAGGAACTAGCACGTTCTGAAAAGGAAAACACTCCCGAGCTAGCCTCGCCCTGGCCCATCCAGTCCCGGAGTTATCGCCCCACAACGATGCGGAAGAGTATGGGCGCGCCGGCATTAAAGACATCTCCTAAGCAAGAAGTTGTCAAGCAAAATGTTATTGAAGTGGAGGACGAAGGGGTACAGGATATGGACGACTACCAGCCGATCTCCAAACCGACAGAGCAAATAGATGGACCCACGTCTTAGAATGACGAGGTCCCTTTGCTTTGTTATTCTTCATGCGCATTAAGCAGTCTCCCTACTACTATTACCTACCACCGTCGTTTACGTATATACAAACCACATCTCAACCATTCAAAATTGTTTGCTCGCATGCAGCATCGCGACGGAGTTGGCTTACAGAGAATGACGGCTTTATTGGATGCTATTGCGACAGGACTATATACTTCCCCCTAAATTATGAGATGCCATCTTGAAAATTATATATAGTTTTCTATTTACTCGTGTGGGGTGCGGACAGATAAAAAAGCATGCACATATTTTGAGTCTTAAAATGTGCTTGGAGTTGGATATAGGGGAAAGTTTTGATATTTAACATCAACAGCCCAGACGGGGTTTGAATACATTTGGGATCACTCTACTATGGTGCCTACCTGCGCCTTTCACGACTTTACGGGACTCACGGCAGCGAACAAAATGTATGCATACAAGGCTATATCAATGCGCCCTCTTTCAGCTTCATCTGGAGGGGGCGGGTCAAACAAATAATGCCGGAATTACGGCCACTCTTTCATAATGAGCAGCTGGGGTTTTTCGGAGAATAAAGGTGACACGGCAGTTATGGGGGGCTGAAAATCCTTGGTACACAAAGACTACGAGAAGCCTAATAATATATCTAACTAGTTAAACTGTACTACACATGGTTATGATGTCTATGATGATGAACACTATGTAAGATATTGTATTCGGATTGAGTTGTCTAGATTCTATCGACGTTTCACGTTCCGTCGATGATCTGCGGATAAACCACAATTATCGAAGCTTTGTCCACGAGCCGTCAGAATTAAGTAAGGGGACGACGGGAAGGGCTGGGCCGTTAGTGGCGAGCAAGGTGCGGCCGCATTACGCGGGCGCCGTATTAATTGGATGAATGGATGAGATGAAATTTTACATAATGATAATACGAGAAGAAATAGGTATGTACATACATGGAAATGGAGAGGGGGAACTTTGCTCAGCTCATGCAGAAAAGAAGGAAATCTCCGTGTCACATATCAGGTACGTAATGTACAATGTTCGATTTCGATTTCGATTCGCGATGCCGATTCGGCCCGTCTGGACGTTGACCGAGATTCGGTTGCGTACCTAAGGGGGACTTGCGTTCGGAGTTCGCGGAGTTTCAGCGCTCAGGAGGTTGGGGGGTGCTGCGGTGCGGTGCGGTGCGGTGCGGTGCGTAAAACCCACATGTGATCACGGTCATTTCATTTTTTTTCGCCTCATTTGGTATGGAAATGGCCCGTACGTCGTATTATAGGTCTTGTATTGCAGATACCTATACGCATGTATGTATGTATATGTATTAGGGAGGTTGCGCTCGAGCCAGCTGGGATTAAATTTAGGAGAGATCCGAGAAAAAAAACAAAATTGCTGTGTTGGTTCGGTCTGGTTCGGTTTTGGTGGTTGATGGCTTCCGCTCTTCCTGGAGGTCGATATCCGCTTGTCCGAACCGAAGACACATGTAGAGTTGGGCTCTGCGGACGTCGGTGAAGTTGCCTTTACGAGGCCGTTCCGAGATGTGAGATGTGAGTTCGCGAGGGGAGACTGGGTGTGGTGATGGGGACCGGTCCGTGCGGCGCGGTAAGGATTGACGGACTGACTACCTGATTGATTGATTGATTGATTAAATGCGGTGACGTCCCTAGATACCATTGATGGAATCGGTTCCGTCGATGTGATGGCAAATGCGAGATTCTTGCGCGGGGAGCATATGGGATGTTGTGCTGTTGGTTTGGATTTTAATATCTACCAACAGCTTGATGCTACGGTTGGTAAGGAGGTTCGGGCAATTTTCTCGGTGACGAGGGCTCGACGGGTGACTCGGTGGTCCGGTTTATGTTTGGATGACTAGGAATTAGACCGGCTACTACGTGATTAAGTGAGTGTTTTAGTTACTCTTCGCGTCGTATATTACGCATGTTGGTGCCGATTAAGTAGGTTCCATGTGTACATGGGCACATAAGAGAGGGGTTGGGATTGTGACGACTTATACATAACCGAGTAGATCAGGGGAACTGATGTTGGGGCTCTTATGGTGTCCAAGTAGTTCCATGTTATCATCATTGCCCAACCTATGAATTAAGCTCTTCGATTACTCTCCGGGCCTCCTCTACCTGAAGCTGTTATATTGGCTGTCAAGACCCCCTTTCCCTAGAGAGATATCTAGTATAGTTGCAAGTTCAAAGTGATATTCCAATATTCAAACAAGGCACTCGATATAGACAGATAATTAGAAATATCGGGTTATATGATTTTAAAGTAAGTTAACAGTTGACTTGGATTGCCCTCCTTTGAAGGCCTTTCATTATATCTCATTTCTCAAACCATTCCCCTTTAAGCTCTCTATAACTTCATACGTTAAGACTCCTCGCACACTTAGCCTACTCCGATGAGAGATATTTCTTGACTTGAAATATAGTAGTCGTATGCTTAAGATAACAGGTATACAATCTAGAGAATTCAGAATCCCATCCACTCTATACCGTCAAACCGACTAGCAAGGGGTTACAGAGAACAAAAGTCAGCTGGCTCGCATGAAAAAGCTTGTCAAGAGCCTCTAAGTGGTTCTTGGTTGGATAATTCTTCGTTGGGTAACATTTAACCATACCATGTACAAGAAGGAGTTACCAACAAGATCACCACGTAGCCCTTATTGGAAACAAGTCCGTACTTGGTAGTGTCCCATCTTATTTTCATGCGCAGGAAATAGTCTTAGGTAGTAATACAGTATTAATCCACGTAAGTTAGGATCGTGCGATAAACTGTCGGGTGATGCCCAAGGAGTGTAGACGTAGCCATGCCTGCCGTGTATTACTGTTGGTTTAAAGACTATATGTACTGGGTATGATATGGCCGTTAGATATATCCCAACTAACTCCCGCTGTCAGTACCAACCGAAACCTAAGTTAATCAAGTTCTACATAGTTCATTCATTCGACTCGTATTCTCCTACATTACTTGACTCATTTCTCCAGGAGCAGTGATATCACTGTGCTTAAGGCGAGCATCAAATCCTAGATACCTATCGGATACCCCTTTACGAGTTTGAGGACTCACACCGATTAAGTTGGGCAGATGATGTCCAATAAACCCTTAGTGCCGTATGTTTATTTCTTATCCATCTCTCTCCTTTATTATTAACTCTCTCGTCTATTACATCACCGGTAACTACTAACGTAAATACATGAGATGGACATTCATGTGGTTCTTAGAATAGTGGTGATATCGTTGATTAATTAGAATTAGGACAGGATCTAGCTATTCTTTTATATATTCGTACGGGGGCGGTAAGTAAGTGCTTGAGTCAGGACTCAGTTACCGTAGCTCTAGGATCTACGTTCACACCTCGACTTCGAAACTAATAGAATTCGTAAATAACTAACCAATATCAGTAACGACAGCTTCTAAATTTTTTGCCTGGTAATAGTAACAGGTCTAGATGTAGCTGTCTGGCAGCTATGCAATATTATACGTATTCTATAGATAAGACAAATCAGCGGTACTCCCTCATTGTGAAACGATACATAAGCTGCTTTGCTCAAAGCCCCCTTTTTGGTATCCTCGAGATGAATCAAATACTATACGGGTATCATGTTAAGACCAAATTTAACTCCTATCAACTTAACCATATAGATATGTTAACTAGTTAAAAACTATAGTTAGGTCTCCTTCCTTAAAACACAAGTTATTGTACTCATTTAGGAGACGTCCCTTGCGACTGATGATAATTCATAACACACCACGTCAAGAAGGATCATTGAATATCTGCTTAGAAAACAACATATGCTATAAACATCAACACGCCAGATCTATTGCAAAAAAAAAAAAAAAACAATTATAAGCCAGGTATAATAATCATAATGTGCATTAGAGTCTATATACAAGTTTCACCCCTCCACCACCAATCTTCACAACCACCTCCTACCCCCCTACCTTATTACATACATATCTACAAGAACTCGCTCAAAACCGCCACCCTCGTCCTCGCGTCATCGGAGCCCCACTCGCCATCCGCCATCATCTTCATGATCTGGACCATACGCGCTAGGAAGCCCGTTAGCATTCAAGGATAGAAAATAGGAGCAGCAAGAAACCAAAATGCATTGTTGGATCTGGGGAAGGGAGGGGGACGACGTACTTATATCAGCCCTCGCCCTCGCAAACAGCGGATCCCTCAAGAACTGATCCGAAGTCGCCAGATCTCTCCCCGCCTCGCGCAGCACACTCCCTATACACAGGGCCTCCAAAAACGCCCTATGGTGAAAAACCCACCACACCCTCGCCTCGGGGTCGAACAGCGTGCACAGTACGAAGAAACACGCGATAGCCTCGTGCGCGGCCTCGAGCGTCGCGCGGATGTTAACAGGGACGTCGGGGCTCTCGGAGGCGTGTACGAGCATGAGGTTGTGGTAGTAATTGCTGCTTAGAAACAGCGTCTGCCGCACCACGCGCTTGTTCGTGCACGCGAGTTGCGCGATGCTCTCCTGGTCCCACGACCGGAACACGTCGGGGAACGAGCGGTAGACGGCACGGAAGTCCGCTACTAGTTTCGACTTCTGCCGCTGCGTGGAGCAGATGGGCACGTCGAGAGAGCGCGGGCTGGAGATGGTTTCTTGGACTAGGTTTGCTAGCATCCAGGACCCGCGGATATACGCCGTGTCGATCGGGTTCGACTCGCCGAACCCGGATATGTCGTCGACGAAGTCCTCGACTTTTACATCCGTGTGTGTGGCGTTGGGGGGTAGCGAGAGTAGCACCGTTAGAAAGGTATCCTGCACGAGGACGGCTTGCCAGAGCTTGCGCCGTTGTTGTTTCTCAAATTCGCTTGCGCCAGGGACCACTGGTAGAAGTTTTAAATCAGCTTCTCGGAGTGCACCGTTACTAATAGCTACCTCGGCCTACCTATATTCGGGTCCCTATGCAGACCCATCGCATAAGCTTGCCTCACTGTAACGCTTAGAGTTAGTAATTCCCCGTTTGTACCATCTGTGTAATACCCTGGTGCAACTAAACCCTTTGTAAGATATAGACAGTGCTAAACAAGCGTGATGTTCTCCTAGTCATTCTTAATGGAGGACCTCGACCCCTATTTTTAAGAGCGCAAGGGGGAAATGCTAGGCACTTAAGGGGTACACGTACATAACAAGCCTGAAAAAGCCCAACCATCTGACGCATGATTGTCGTTTATCAAGAAATAGCCAACCAGAACCATAGCTTGAACAGAGCGTAACGAAGCCGTATTTAAATAAGAGGACATGCGCAGCGCCTGATTACCTGCCGAGGCGTAGAACTCGGCAGTTTGCTTGCGATCTTTAGGATTCGTCGTCATCACGAATTGCGTTCCCAGAGCCATCATGGTGAAGAGCAAGCCTACGAAAGCGGCATCGGTCTTATCGGAATCTCGTAAGGACCAAAAGTGCTCGTACTCGAGATAGAACGTATGGCGATCGATCATAGGATAGACCGGGTCCACGCAGTCGTAGTACTGGCTGATGAGGATATCGGTCTGCAACTTGTCGGGTAGAACCCCGATGACCTCGGGGAGCCCGCCCTCGCAAGTCCAGTAGTTGGCGAAAGGATGTTCTGAGCCTACCCCAAAGACATTGGATGCTGTTGGGTGGGATAGAGAAACGTTAGAGACGAGCCCTGTTGATAGTGCGACGGACCCACGAGATGTCATCCGACTGATGGGAATACCTCTATCTGCTATATTTGGAATCGAAGGTCTCATCCCACTCATCGTCACCTTCTTCTTCGGTGGTTTCGTCATCCTGCGGCCGTTGGTGGCCGACCGTGATGTCTCTCTGGGACTTGTTAGTCGCGTTATCTCCTTTCAACTGTAGTTAAGCTATTTCTAAACAGTAACGGCTTACTCGAGGAGATTTGCCACGTGCGCATATTTGCATTCCGTTTGTCGTTTTATACCTGACGGGCCTCGTAAACATAAGATCGTGTAAGAGGATCGAAGATTGTAAGTATGCTTACAAGCTAAACAGTGAGGTCTACCTCGATCGCACTAAACTCGAAGCCGGACATGTTAGTAGCTGCGGATGTAGAACCATAGCAGTCGACTAAAGGTAGAAAGATAATTCTTCTAAGTCACGCTAGTTTCGGTTCCAACACAACGCATGCTGATGCTTTGTCGAAGTCCCTCCATAACCCGAGGTATTGATTTGACGTTATACTGCTATTCCTCCTCTTTTATAGAAATTTGTTTCAATAACGGCTTGTAATCTAGTCGTTAGTTTCCCGTTGTTATCATTTTCCCTCCCGAGACATGACCTAGTCAATGGGAAATAAAAAAGAAGAAGAAAATGCATAAAGTTTTAAATAATTTGATGCGCATTATTTCTCCGTAGTGCTACGTGATACTGACGCAACAATCGGAAAAAGGAAATCAATTTGGTCTAACACTGGCTAGACGCAGAACGTGGCGTCGGGAAATTATTTTTTTATTTAATTGCTAGAATTGCAGCATTTACTTGCCTTCGTCTTCCGTTCGACACATTCATAACATGATAGCGTTGGTTTGTTGCGCTTCTGTTTCTTCTTCAGGGGTTCGGAGAACGGAGGTACGGCGGTGACGCTACCTCCGCTGCTCGTGCCGTCGCCATCTTCAGGTTCAGACTTAGGGCCGAAAAAAGACTGAGTTGCCGAATCGGGCGAGGTATAGAGTGTACTTGCTGAGGCCGGTGTAAGTATTGTAATTGGCGATAAAGCAGAGGTTGCGGAAACGGCGGAATTGGCAGAGTTTCCAGAGTATCCTCCGCTGCCGTACAACAAATCCGTCGGAACTTGAGATGACGACATGCGCGTTGCTATTGTCTCTCTCTCTCTCTCTCTTATGCTGCAATGGCTGCAAACTGCCCGGGAGGATTCAATTGAGGCTGAACACAGAACTGCAGGTGGCGCATCCGGGAATAAGGGCCGATCGTCTAATGAGGCTTGATCGATTAGACAAGGTTGGGGTGTTGGCGGAAATTGGGAATGGATGGATATAAAGAAACTCAAAGTGACAATTGAAGGAAGAAGCCAAGACTTTTTTTGGTTTTTGTTCCCGTTGTTTCAAGGAATTTAAAAAATTAAATTGGGGATCGAAGAGGATCGACTGGGGGAATTCGATTTGGGAAAAGACTGGGAAGAGTTCGGCACGATTTAACGGTAAAGTTTAAGTTAAGTTAGGTTACCTTAGGTAGGTTAGGTAGGTAGTTTAAAGCTATTATAGGAATAAGGAATAATAAGGAATAGAGATGAATAACAGGTTAATAAAAGAGTATCATACTTCCATGTATCATATTAGATATGTCAGTTGACACACACACATACCCCAAGATACATTATGTATTTTACCTCGCCTCCTTAACAAGTTTATGTATTTGTGGTGAGCTACCTAAATACATCTTATTACTTACAATTATTACTTACAATAGTTACAGGCTTTGTATCCTTATGCTGTATAATACCACCGATACAAACTCATAGAATAGGTACATAACACATGGCTTGCTTCGCCCAGCTCCTTGGCTCACTTGCTGCAGTTCTTGGGACGTCGTGTCATGACCGGTCTATACATACATGAAATATAAGCCTTGGCCTATTCGTACTTGTACGCATAAAAGCCTCTGCATCGAATAGTGAGATACTCCTGACCGTGATAGCGCAGTAGACAAGTTGAGTTCACGAAATCTGACGCATGTCGGTGTATTACACTAATGAATGTAACTTGAAGGTACTGTACCTCGTACAAGTCCATTAATTGGATACCTGACGGATTCTCCCCGCAAGCGGTCTAGCTAAGCTCTTTAGGTGCCGAATGGGTGCCGCGTCGACAGGGGTTCAGCCCGCGGAGTAGGAAATGGTGGAAATGGTAGGGATCTTTAATGGATCATGGATGACAAGTCGCAAAGTCGGAGGGCGATATGAACCTGCAGGCACGCCGCTTCGATTAGAAATGCCGAAAACTCGCGCTGACTGACTGACTGACTGACTGACTGATCGACTGACTAACTACTAACTACTAACTGGATGACAGCATGGGCCGGTTTATCGGTCGCCTTTCCAAAATCTTCGCCGTTTTATTAGTATCGTGAGCAAGAACTAAAACATTATGGCTTTTGGTAATATGTGGTGATTTATGGAATATGGTATCCCTCGGCTAAGCCGGAAGATACCTAGGTAAGGCTAGGTAAGGACTAGGATGCTACGTGTTACCCGCTTGGTTATCACCGGCCGAGTTATCGTTACTCGGGTATTGTTACTCGGTGATCGGGGATATATTCTTCTTGTCGTCAAAGTAAACTTAATATTAGAACTTGGCAGAATATTCAACGACAACAAAACACCGATGTCGTTTCATTTACAATAGTATTTACTATACTATATTCTAGTTAGGTAACTCTAGGCGGCGGCGGCCCCCCTCCCCAGAATCCAACATCCAATCCTGGGGGTTGAATCTAGTTACAGTTACCCTCGTGCTAACCCAGTCTAGAACGAGATTACGTCAATACTTATTGGAGGGCGTCGTAATGTGATAGGGCGCAGGCCTTGTCATGGATTCACGACTTAAGTTCTGACCTTTTCTATTAAGATAATTAGTAAGATTTCTACAAGACGCCCCCAAGATGCCCCCCCAACCTGCATCCCCGATTCTATGCGACTTATTCTATAAGCTAAGATACATAGAGACTTGGTTGCTACCTTAGTAGTCATGCATGTCATGGGTAGAGAAGTACAATCGTATGCAGACGACTATGTGGAACGACTCAATCTGACAGGCACGGTTTTCTAGAGTTATTCTCGAGTCTTTCGATTCTTGTTAACGGGCTTTGCTCGTCAGCCTGGTCAAATCCCGTCACTTTGTCTGGCTATAGAGATCGTATTAGCCTCGCAGGTACTAAGCACTAAGGACCAATGGCTTCGTCCCCGAGGGTCTGGTAGTGAGCCGACCTCATGGTAAAGTCGGGCTGCCTATTTTGGAGTTGCGTCAAGGCTCTGCATCTCCTCTGCATTTGTCGGGTTGACTAAACATAGTGCATCGACGAATAATATAAGGCATAGACATTACTCAGTGTTCTAAAAACAAAACACCGATATTATATGCCGAATAAGACATTTTCTTCCAAGTCAAAGTTTGTTCGCCAATTCTAAACAACTTCGCAGCTTTTGACCGATCGCATTATGTTGCCCCAGCCAAGTTACAACGTCGCCTTCAATTAAGTGCGGAGTTGGGGGCCTCTATATTCGACATGGAGAAGTGGATGAGCTGCATACAATTACTAGCCAAGCCCAACCTCGCGAGAATCACCATCGTCTGTCTGATCGCCGTAACTCAATTCACTGAATGGGAATCGCCGCCTCCCTGAGAGTTCTCCATAGAGCTTCAGCTCCGATATTTCACCGCCATGGCGCCCTGTTATGTACAACTTGAAATTTCCACGTCCTATAGACGACCCTCAACGCCAAATTCCACCGCTGTGTAACCATATTGTGCTTCCAGTATTGATGCAGTCATGATTCAAGACCATACGATAACGCCTCTAATAAATACCGAATATTTCGAGCTGCTAGGCGTCGTCCTAGTTTGGAAGGGATTGGTAATGAAGAGGGTGTGTGAGACAGCGATGGCTCCATCTATACGCTTTTGCCACGACAGCGGTGAATGTGTCTAGCTGGTATGCTCGGCCGTTCGGGCCCCGATGAAAAATGTGAAGGTAAGACGTTAGCAAGATCTGGAATAGTTTGCCGGTTCTATAGATTCTGGGGCAAGACAACTCTTACAAGGTGGCTTCATTATGATTCTCTGCGCCTTAACATTCTAATGAGGTGGTCACGATGATCATGATCATGAAACTGTTAACATTCGGAAAGCGTGAAAGAACTATTGACCTATCAAGCCTGATCTTTACCCTAAGACAACCTAGTGCGCGGCTATGGAGCATAGGACGGACGACTGGTGCTATAGTTGGAATATGCTAACTAGGATAATTCTATCAATCGTTAGACAGTCAGATACCTTTACATAAGCTTATTAAAGTCGCCGAGTATTAAGAGGCAGCATATCAACCCAATAGTCAGAGCTAGAAGAAAGTGTCTCATTGCTCATCAGTGTTCGAGCTCTACCTGCTTGACTCGGCTCGGAGTATTTCACTCGTCTTGTTTAGATGCCTTAATCTAAGTTAACCAATAGGTAGACTATCTAAGGTACCAATTGAATTATTATAGAAGTTCAAGCAGACAACTAGGGGGAAACTTCATAGGAGCCATGTCCAAGAGAATCCAACTACATCATGCAAGATCCAGCTTGAAGTTCGGAACGGGGTTTCCAACAGAGCCATCTCGGGACCGTGATTTAGAAGTAGGTATAGTAATATCTTCTGATACAATTCAGGGTCCTTATTTGTAACACTTGCGAATAGCTCAAGGATGATTCTTAGAGAACAACATCCAATCATGTCAAGAGTGACAGCTCACTTCGTATACCAACATCTGCTTTAAATGAAGACTACGATTATAGTATGCCGTTGGTGCGGGCGAACGGTTCTTCTCAACCTACCGCGATCATTGGTGTGCGGCTGCAGGATGATGCATCAGGGTAACCTAAAGATATCAACTCCCAGCACATCGGGTAGTAGAACGATCCATCGGAAGCTTAATAGCGATCCCTGCCCAAGAACATGCAAGTAAGAAGACCTACGAATGAACCATTCACATTTTGACAGTCGAGGCCGGTCCAAGGTGTTGGTATCAAGTTGGGAGGGATGTGAAATCCCTCGTTGGGCCGCGACGAACTGTTTCACCCCCCCCTTAGTCCGGGGTAGTCCGCTCAGATTAACCGTGAGCACTACTATCGCTGGTATCCGACAAGGCTAGGCTTCCGCGATCGATCGACTCCGGGGGGCAGGGCCAAGGCTTAGACGTCAATGCTGATGCAACCCGGCCTTCCCTGCTGACCGTACGTGCATTCTGGTTGGGCTTCCGAGTGGGCGGCGTTGGAGACTATCTCAACCTCCACCCTCGGATTACGCCAGCAATGCCAACTTTAATATTAAATCGTGCTCAAGCAAGAGTAAGACGAACAAGACTTGCATTGCGTGGTGCTTCCTGCATCTTTCTAGACGCTCGAATTCGACCGAGAAAAACGCGCGCATTGGCTGATCCCCAGGCGGTTGCTTACGGGGGTATCATCAAGCAGTAATATAAAGCTGGAGTGCAGCATGGCGGCTTGGTGAGTTCGACGAGAAGGTCGAGGCGACGCACTTATTCATGATATCTGACAGAAATGTTCGAGACTGATTGGAGGCAGCAAGTGGGCTGCTACATGGACACATCGTCACTAGCACCAGCTTACACAATCAATCTTAACCAGCTAGGTACTTCTATATGTATGAGTTTATTATCTTCATCTCTGCCGGTCTTCCGAGAGGCTTTTTTTTTATATACTATACGTGTAGGTTAATACGATACGCGTATTTATAGAATTATTCTTCATCATACGGGGATATATTGCCTAATCAATTTATCGTTGGGATGGATCATACAGTCGAGAATCAAGAAATAGGGGATACGGACCGTCCAGGGTAATATGCAATACTACCATATTGATTGTATTATATGCAGTCCCTGCAAGCTGGAAGCATGACCCAATATGGAAGACCCCAAAAGTTGGGTTCCAAGAATAGGGGTAGTTCTTTGATTAGTCATCACATACTGGCACAGCCACGTTATGGCTTGTATTTACCCCTTTTCTTTATTATGGGCATATACTAAAAGGCTGTGGTAATGTACATACTTCAATATCTATGTCAGTAATGTCTATAGTATAGATATTTCCAGGGGATCACTCTCCCTTGTTGACTTAGGCCCTATTCACTAGATAAACCAAACTAAGATTTAATGTTGCTTGATACTTCGATTTATTCTTCCAAGTTTTATCAGTATTCTCGGTGAGGCATAACAAAGGATGCTCTTGGTATGTATATTCACTGGCCTCTATAGCCTATATTTAAAGTTCCTTGAGAAATAACGAAGTTAATTCCATACTTTTTAGGCTCGTCTCATGAAAAGTCACGATGTAGTCTATAGATATATCTGTGACTTTGTAATTAAAGAGTAGCTACTCCATTCAATTTATTCAGAAATGAAGTTTGTTGTAATATAAGTTATCTCACTAAAGGCCTCCTGAATAGCTGAATCATGAATATTGCTTCACACGGAGTTCTATATAAACATTTAGGTAGGCCTCTAACCTAGCCCCTAACTTCTGGAATATCACCTTCGCAACAACCTCACAAACCATCCCCCAACGAACATCATCTACCATATCGGACCATCTCCCCCTTCAGCATAACTCATCTACCAAGATAATGGCAGGTGACGATTCGTCTAAGGGATGGAAGTTAGAAAAGGACGGATGGAAGCCAGTATCCAGCACAGCAGCCTCTACTACAACCACTTCCGCTGGGCCAAAGATACTGCGGAAGGAAAGTGGAAGCACCAGCGCCTCAACCAGTCTCGCACAAAGTATCACCACTAAGTCGTCTAAGAAGTGAGGGAGTTGGTATGTCCACAACAACCCCACGATACTGGTTACTTGCCGAGGGCAGATATTTTCACTTAGGATGAACCAGTTTGGAGTAATACCCCATGTCGTAATTCTTGGAGGAAAACACACCTAATTATTTTCCATTTGATATGAATTGACATTTTTTACCAAAGATAGAAGACTCCTTCCCAAGTGAACAGTGTATTTGCCATATGATTGCATATTAGTATCAAAGAGTTTAAAACTCATATATTATTATATATAAAACCTCATAAAAGGTTGAGACGCAGTATTCGCTAGGAAACTCTTCTTACCGGAAAGCAGTCTCACCCCACCCCCATCGAGCGTTGGACTCGAAACCGAGAAAGACAGGTTTTAGAGTCAAACCCGAGTAAAGTCTCAAAGGTAAGGCTTTATCCTTCTCTTTTAGAGGGAGGGTAGTAACGGCTAAAGTACTCAATAATTGTTGATTAAGTGTCTACCTGGGTAGGCTTCGAATAACTGTTATATGGGCTCTTATTAAGGCTGCATAATATTGACTCTTTCTTCCTAGCCTCGTAGTACAAGAAAGTAAACCAATGCCATAACCTTGCTGTGCCGATGGTGGTTATGATTAGACTGTAGCTGTAAATATACCTCCTCGTTATGGTAATGGAACATAATGCTCCCTGATAGTTATAGTTTTCTATTGCCGCCCTATGTGCGAGTATATACCTTCCGTAGTATATAAAACTCTCCCTGACTTGACTTGAACCAAACCATCCTCCATAATACATACCCTCCCCCTATTGTTTGGTACCTAGGTATATATAGGCATACCTTATGAATGAAATAGAAAATGCCGTCTTAAAGAACTAGATACCAGTTCATCCTTGCCTAAGAAAGGTACGGTGTGAAAAACAGAGGAAATCTCAACGGTGTATACACAGCGTACAGAAGGTTGTTCCCAAACAACCCGTTTGTCCTCTTCCATCGTATATCAACCTCCTCACAACACCATTATCCACTACCACAGTTGAAGTTAAAGAACACCCACCATGTTAGCAACCAATCCTCTCCTCCAAAAACAATCTCCAGTTTCTGGAATAACGGTAATGTACCTGTTACGTTTCCTTCATCTATATATACGTGGGCAGATTCCCTTCCATGGAGTTTTATTTTCGGCATCATACCAAGATAGCATACTCCTATCAACAATACCCCTAGTTATCCCCAACGCCAAACTAGAAAGTACACTTGTACGAAAAGAAAAAAAAACTTACTGAGACCCCTTGCTTTTTTATTCACAATCATGTCTCGATCTCATTCTCGATCCCGATCCAACTCGACCCGGTCTCGACGCCCCTTCCAAAACGGCATCGGCCACGCAACCCTCGCCTTCATCGCTAGAATGATGGGCTTGCGCACGGGCATGACCCGGCGGGAGTTCGAGCGCCGGGAAGCCGCGCGCTACCGACGACGACAGGAACTACGGCTACAGCGAGAGCGATTCACACGCAGCCAAGGCCGGAGCCTCCCCGTGCAGGAGATCCGCCAGCGGGTGACGCTGGCGCTGCAGAACGGCGAGAGGGTTTCCTCCCGGATCCTGTACGAGCTCGCCGAGCGCGACGGCGTACATATAACCCGCGGCCAATGGGATCTTCGTCCGGAGCTGCTGGCTCGCATCATGTACATACGCGATAAGTACTACTTCCTGGGATATGATGGGGTCTTCTACACTAGTACCAACCCGACCGGTAATAGTCCTGACTTTGATATTATCCTCGATACCTTTACGCCGATTATCGTTCGGCAGGTCGCTTATCCGTACCGGCAGTTGTGCCGGTCGTAAGTTCGAGACAACTTTGTCTCGGTGGAAAGGTGAGCACGTACCTGGAACTATTCTCTATGTACTCATCCTCGACTATGACAAGGTAATATCGTACGTTATCGTACGTTATCGCGCCAAGGCGGTCCTAAGAGGCGATCTCCTAATTATGTAAAACTCGTTTCGACATCCTAAGAAACGTTTAGGAGATCGTCTCAGAATTTAGTAAATCGACCTGTAACCCTAACCTGGCTCGCTATTGTATCTCTACGCCCGTTGGTAAGATACTCGAAGACATGACGTGCGATTCTGTGATATTAGCCACCAACAGACCTTGATACGTTGCTATTAGAAGTCGTTGGGTGAGTACTGAGAGATGAGTTAGGGTTTAGGAGCTAGACTCTTATGCAAACCTATTCCCATGGATATGCAAGGCATTGTTCCTTGTCCTTTATCTTGCCCTCTTTTGTTATTGTTCTGGCTTTCTGGTGAGTATAATCAGCTGGTACTGCATTAACTTACCAAGCCAAGTTTAGAAAAATCCGTAGAAAATAAAATAAAAATAGGTTTCCAAACTGCTCTAGTCCTTTTGTTACTTAGATAGTTGTAAGGTTTTCTTTGTTCTTGGTGATGATGATGAATTCGTTTAATTTCGTTAACGTCCAGTAGGCGTGTGTATACTCCCCGAGATATCTACACACTTAAATACCTTATACGCATCCATATCGTGTGGGGACGTCTAGAGTACCTCGTACATTCGCTCCTCCTTATTAATCGTATACGTTCGATGTAGATATTAGAACTCCGCTTGCGCCATACCTAGTATATCCTCCATTTACCTAGTAAAACCCAAAATCAACGAAACCCGTCCCATATATACGAGGTAGTCGATAATATATACGAGGTAGTCGATAATATATACGAGGTAGTCGATAATATATACGAGGTAGTCGATAATATATACAGAGAAGGCAGACTCTTCGTAGCTCGCAGCATGATGACCGCTCACTACTCATCGTCTGCCTGGACCGTAAAAACATCTGGCGACCCCGGGGCGAAGTGCAGACCAGATATAGAAATATCGAAAACAATGGATGAAAGACGCTTCTCGCGCTGAAACGCGCTAAGCCTTGATTGATTCCGACATTATAGAACAATGCTGTTTGCACACTATGAATAAAAGATTCATCCATTATACACAAGACTTAGAGACTCGACAACTCCATTGTGTGAAGAATCAATTCCATTATGTTGTTTAACACCTTCTTAGATGATTTCGCCTTTCGGTGTTTTAGATATTTCACATTATAGCCTCTGAAAGGTCTCGGAAGTATTATGGAGGAACCGCCTAGGTTGATTAATTAATAATTTGCCAAAGGAAAATGTAGGCAAACTAATTCTATAGATACACAATATAGAATACCAAGCTACGAAAATGATCATGTCATATTTAATTACTAAAGTGGACAAACACTTTTCAATGCAGACTTGTGTGTTGCGTTAGTTCATCGCAGAATTAATACTCATGAACGCGTGGAGATCTATTAACTCAGTGAAGGTCCCTAATCCACTTTTGCTACCCCGAAGGTCGTGTGGACAATAGTCTCGTCCCAAACCTCCTTACTAGGCCTGTATACTTCACAATTCTCAAGTAATCTTCATTATCCATCGGCCTGGGCAATTAGAAAGCCCCTAAAAGAAATGATCCATCGAAGAGGGTCCGCGCAAAGATACTGGAATGTGGTCTAGGCGACCCCTAAACCCAGATCTAACCCAATGGACGCGCCGTTCCTATGGTAAAAGAGTCTGGCCACATGATTCATAAGGTCGTAGCCTTTTCGTGGAGCTCCATCAAATATAGGATACCCATGATCCTCGCCAAACCTGCGCTGTTGTGTTTTGGAATATCACCAAACAATGTCAAAATGCTTCATTCCGAACGCAGTAAAAAACTCCGAAAGGCTGAAAGGACCGATCAAGTATATATTGACTAGCGTCTGTCTCCTCTGAATTGATCTCTGATCCAATTAAATGGGCCGCTGATAGAACCTCTTCCGTCACGTGTCCTATCGCTTTGCGCTGAACGACGGCTGGAAGGAGAAGGGCTTCTAACCCTGGCTGAAGCTGTTCCAGAGTGCGTCGGGGGCGAGTTCGAGTCTCGTCTAAATGTTTGCGCCCGGCTTGAAGAATTAGTCTGATCAGATCTCAGGCGACTTGTCGGCGGAGCACCATCCCGTCTTCGGTGCTGAGACGAAGTACCGGACGGACCAGGCTGTGCATCTGAGGCCTCAGTGACGGGACGGCCAGCAGCCTCGCCATCGATAGACGCGCGGCAGATAGGACATGTGTTGTGTTGTTTCAACCATAAGACGACGCACTGTTCGTGAAACCAGTGTTTACACGGTAGCACAACGGCTTCATCCCCCACTTTCACCCCGTCGATACATATGGTGCATTCGCCTTTCAATTCAGGCCCTAGCATCTCCTCGTCTAACTTCTTCTTTGGTAGATTTGCAATAGCCTCCTCCGAAGCAGGTGCTGGCGCATTTGACTGCGGGTTTGCCTCCATGAGACTCGTGATGATGCGATCTAGTGCCTCCTGAGAATAAACCGCATCGCCATGGACCGTGTGAGGATTTATGAGGCTCGCTATTAGCTGACTGAGAGCTAACGAAAGATCTGCTGGCTGGCGGGGATTGCCCTCTCTACCAGCTTGATTTGAACCATTTGGAGAGTCGCGACCCATGGAAGGAGGACCTAGGTCTCCCATTATATTCCCAAAGACTCTGTCATATATATTAGCAAGTCCCAAAATAAATATGCTATATAAATGTAATATAAACCCTGGAATACTCTAGGCTGAATATTAGGAAAGGAAACCTTACCTTTGAAACGGATCTTCAGGGCCTAATCCGGGTCCATGGCCAGGATCGGGGCGAGCCCGTGCGGAACTAGACGTAAAGGTAACACTACTAACACCACCAGTGAAGCCGGGTCCAGAAAACCTTTGAAGGGTAACTCGCGGGGCTTGACTGCCTCCGAATAGTGTGTCTGGACCGGACCGACCAACCGAGGGGTTTCCTCCTAGATCTGATATTAGTTCCGTGAATCTGCGCATGATCTGGTCGGGATTCTCGGGAGCCGTTCGGGGGGCGGTTCTAAGGCCTTGGCTATCGGGGGACCGCAATATAGATCGGTGGCCATAAAAGCCCCCAGGACCACGAAGTAGGTGTTCCTCAATGTCATCCTCGTCGGGATCTTCATCGGAATCGAAGTGAGGGTGATGAAAGCGGCGGTGCTGGCCGAAACCAGGTAGCGAATCGTTATCGTCTAGGTTACGAGGATCGCTTTCAGGTGAAACCTGCTCGCTAATTAGTAGGATGCTCAGACATAATGTTTCAAACCAACATACTATCTCTGTGATATCGCCGTGGCACCGGGGGCATTCTAAAGTATTCGGGCGTTGATCTCGGTACCACTCGTTATCGCAGCCGTGGCAGAAGACTACCTCGCGATCGCCCGTCGCGTCTAAATGGTGGTTCCTAGACGCCATCTGGCCCTGTCTAGACTGTTGATAGGCGACAAGGGCAGTGACTCCCAGGCCAATAGCTAGGCCTGCTGCTCGAAGGGCTCGGAACGCCAGAATGACAAATCAAATGGTAGAATAGACGTATCGATCGCTTGACGATTCTGGATCCTTTGAGGCTATCGCGTCCGGACAAAAAGGGCTTAGGTTGGTTAGGCGAGTGGCGACTAGAGTAATGAAGTCGGTTGAATAGGTGAGGTTGGATGAGGCTGACGTGGGGTGTTTGAGGTCCGATATGGCAGATTGCATGCAAGCCGCAACGTTAGGTTGATCATATACCTGGCAAGGCAGATTTTAGACCCAGAGTTTGTGTACGAAGTGCAACAGTAGGAAATATATCAAAGGTAGGCTCGCGACAGCTGTTATACATCAGTTAGCAGCTGAACAATTTGGATGAGTCGTATTGTAAGGTATCAACTGTGGCGCACCTCGGAGTCAAGCATCAGCTATGAATACGTCAGCGGATGTCACGGAAGATCACACAAGTAGTATCGAACCTGTGTATGTTGGCAGTTTGACGGCAAAGAGAACTTCCAAGAGATATTGGAAAAAGGAAGCTTGAATATTTGTTTTGCCACGAGGAAGTCTAGAAGGTCAGAGATCTGAAGTCCATGTGTACCAAGGGTTATCCTGCCAGAATCCCCAAGCGTCTCCTTGCTCTAGCTTCCGTGGTAATCATCCAATGGTCGGAAGTGGTTATTATTTATATTACTAGTCGAAATGGTCTTTGTGCTTTAATGGCGCTTGGTGTTAAATAATGCGCCTTCGAGAAGCTTAAAACTAAGGTTTGAAGTGACTAGTTAGCAACGGTCAGTTGGCCGGTTCCTTTCGTCATTTACAGGTGGATATTTTACCTAAAGTTTAATGTTCACCTACACCTACATGTACCTAAGTACTACACACGTACCGCGGGGCAAGTGAGGTGATGTCCTCACACGGGGTACCTAGGTACTAAATAGCCACATTTTACGTGAGTTTGATTATGTAACCTTAGAAACGTGCATGGACACACTGCCCTTAGTACGTAGGTACCTAGGTACATACCCAGACTCTTCCGACATATATCTTCAGAATTCAAGGTTGTTTGCTTAAAATATTGTACTGATTTATTTAGACCTCTTACTTGTAAATAATTGGTTGTTAGTGAGTCAAGTGCAAGTGTAGGTAGATAATTTCTAATTATAAACCTTTACAGTTGTTTACATTCTGTTGAAGAGAAGGTCACGCGAGGTCGTCTGGATATCATCAACATCAACACTACGCAAACCACCAATTCCTCTTTGTAAGGGCGATGAATTTGACACTAATAAAAAATAGAGCTGAGTGATTTATATATAAATCGACATACTTGTACTGTAGCATAATGCCACGATGCTAGATCCCAAACACCAGTGCTTCAGTAAAACCGTTCCCTTGCCTCGACAGTCTAGGATTACACCTACGTCTTAGGCAGACTACCATAACATGTATTGATAGGGATATGGCTCCCGGACACCAGCCGTTACAACGCCATCAGTTCAATACAACCGTATTAACAACCTCTTACGGTGATCTATCATGTTATCAAGCTTTCCCTATGGAGGCTTCCGCCAAGCTTCTACCGCCTCTTGCCGCGGAATAGGATTCCACCAACCACGCCAGCCGCAATAGCGACACCGCTTATGATCGCAACACCCATCAGGCCCTCTTTTGTTACCTTGTCATCGATCAATCTGCGCAGGTCTGCCGCCTGATGATTGGCAGGTTCCTTATCCAGCAACAAATCATTATAGCGTCTTGCCTCCCCATAGTTTCCAAGCTTGAAGTTGGCTAGTGCTAAGTAGTAGAGACATTCACGTCGGCGGTCGGGCGACACTCGAAATATGTCCGAGAGGAGACGTACACCTAGCTGTTGATCGCTTCGAGTATTCGACTTGATTAGGCCCTACAGAAGATAATGAGTATACTGCGAGGTAGCTCTTGCGAAAAGGCATATATGGACGTACCCATGCATAGTTGAATTTTGTTTGGATACCGGCCATCTCGCCCTCCTTCTCATATTGTGCGCGCAACGTTTGGAGTTCCGCATCCTTCAGCGGGCTATCCGAATAAAATTTAGCTGGCAAGTCAAAGCGGGGGAATAATTATAGAGAATTGTACCTTTCCGCATCTACAGCATCTATAATTAAGAAAAAGAGTATAATTTAGCAATTTTATATTCCCTAAGCGACTTCAACCGAGTGCAATAGATAGGCATACTCACAAGGTAGAGCCGTCATCTTGTTGGTATTGGTCGATTTTTAGCGTATAGCTCGGACTGTGCGGTTTTCCTCAAGTAGGAAGAGTCGTAGTAATAGCACACACTACAGGGTATGTGACTTGCGCTTGAGTTGTATATCTTGTCGTATAGTGGCTATGTATTCGTAGGTAACATACGAGAATATTGTTGAGAATACCTAGGTATGTCCTAGCGACGGCAAAGTTAATAAGTATGGCAGCCTCCAAATGTGGCGGGAGCTCTCAAGTCATCACCTGTCGGAAGGTGGGCTATGTTTGTGGCGCTAATGACGCAAAACGACAGGTGGGGTACATGGTATGTACATATTTGTACCTAGGTATTTTATGCTAGGTCGTCCCGGTGATACCGCGGTTTGTTTTGTCCACTTCTCGACATTCCAACTTTTTAGCTTCATAGAGAGAACCACATGGAATAACTTAAGACTTATTGACGACTACAACAAGGGGAATAAATTTACCATACACAGTCACGATGCTTCTAGACGAGGACCCTGCTACTGTAATGAAATACCTTTCTTGCTCTATCTCAAATTCAAATTACTGACACTATCCAGCTCATCCACCATACAATCAACAATTTCAATATCGGCCCCGATAAGCTCGCTGTTTCGCGCATCAGCGACTCTCTATCCACATTAAATCAAGCGCGAGAGCTTCGAATCAAAGAAGCTGAAACCTCGCTAAAGAGTATGATACTACTATCATCTGATTAATCGTTGAATTCATATTAACATAAACAAATTAGAACTTGGCCGTTCCCTCAACACACTCCAGGCACAACATGAAGAGCTCACATCAGCGCACTCGTCATCCGCACACGCGTCCGAGATCTCGCGCCTCGATACCCAGAAATTCCGCATCGCGAAAGCAGTCTCCGATTTAGAGATGGAAGCAGAGCGTCTATCTTCCCAACAGGCCGATCTAGCAGCGCGTTTGCAGGAATTAGAATTACAGGGACTAGAAGGATCGCCGGAAGACGCAGCAAAGAGAAGGGACCCGGTCGATGACGAGGTATTGCTACGCTTGAAGGTGTATCGGAGTCTAGGAATCGATCTAGAGCGAGATGAAAAGGACGGCGAGTTCTCCAGAGCCATTGTGCGTAACGATCGCAAGGGCGATGTTCATGTTATAAATATGGACAAGAAGTTCTCGCGCTTCTTCTACGCTAATTATTTTTGGCAAACGCTCTAGGGTTAGAGCTTTCGCCAAGTCTCCAACTCAGGGGGGCTTATGTGGGATGAGCATTTTGAAAGTTACCGCACGGTGTTGGGCGTTTTTGGTTATTGAAATACCACAAGGTTATCTCGAGTCTTATACACATACCAATTCACTTATAAAACATATTTGAGTTGTGATACAAACAAGCGCCGGATCCCACTTTTGTCAGATACCTAAATCAAGATCAAACCTGTTGTCCATAACTTCTGATCTTGAAACCGCACTCCTGACTCGCCCCCCACGAACCCATACGTAAAAGATTTTTACGCAACGCCAACCCTTTCTATCCAGCAAGGCAATCTTTATATAAACCAATTATCTCTGGTAAAGCCTTTTGTTAATAACTCTCGAACGTGTTGTATCCTCGTTATTCTTAACACCGACCACTTTTGGCATGCTTCCTTTCTACTATGGAGAAATATTCGTTATCGTCGACCTTGGTGAAGCTACGTGGCCTACTACTTGTTGGTGTTCTTGATCTTGAGCTGTTGGGCGATGCATACATTCTTAGTCCTTCCGGATTATAGGCCGTCGACGCATTCGCGCCCTCCATGTAAAGGCCTAGCCCGCTATTTCCTGGCAACACAGCACCTCCGCTATGTGATCTAGAACGATGGCGACGGTCCGGAAGTTCGAGCCGCGAGTTAAGACTGTACCACTGTTGGTCCGTGGCATCAGCATCGATATCTACACCATCTAATCTCCATCCTCCCACACCCTCGAAGTCCCTTTCGAGCCCAGTAGTGGGTGTCAAGGCAAGACCATCGAAGCCACCAATAGGCGTGGCAGAACCGCTACTAAAGCTGCCTTGCATCTTGCTGCGTCGGCGCCTATGCCGCGCTTCGGGCGAAGATGGTGGGGAGGATTCTAGCGAGTGTGGCGGGGTACCGGAAGGAGTCCGCCGATGTGCGGGATGGCCTACCAACAGATATCGCAAAGTCTCGAGCCCGACGTCGAAATATACGAGGAATAGGCGTAAGAACAAGACCATGAATGCTAAGATGGTCGTGAAGCCGGCGCAGAGGGCAAGCGGAAGGGCAACGAAGAAGAGGAATGGGAAGATGAAGAATTGTAGTGGACTGAAGACCGCCATGTGGAAACGTACTGCGAACTGTATCTGGCGGAATTGTTCGCGTCACTTGAGCGATGATTAACGAGCTGAAGAATTTCTTGGATCACATTGTTATTGCGATTTAGAGTAATCCAAATATCTTATGTGCGGTGGCGCATATGTCAGCGCTGGGGGCGAGCTAGAAAACTTGATAGGGAAAAAAAAGAAAAGGATCAGGATGAGTGCCGGCGGAGGGTAATACAGATGAGGAGAATGGGGGAGCGATGGAGAATACATGTATGTAATAAGACATGAAGAAACTCGAGACTAAGACACTCTATTCGGGATGTAGTCTCGATCGTGGTTGTAGCACGGAAACTTTCGATTATGAACTGCTTGCCGTAAGTTACATGTAGGTAGGTAGGTATGAGGGCAAACAACTTTCACATGCCAAGTGTCCAGTTAAGGTGTGTTTTAGTAAGGTACTTGAATACTTTAGTCTCTATTGGAACATTGAACTTTCTACATTAATGTATGTAATTGCTTCGGGGGGGGCGACTTAAAAATCTGATAACTGATAACTGATAACACTAAAGTGCCAAAAAGTATAAACCAAATACTATTAACGAAATAAGTGTATGCTCATGACTCTATAAATACGTCTACGGCGCATACTCGTCTATTTGATAAGGCAAAAGAATATAATTCCTCCAATAATTTACATTGTCTAGGCAATTGATCGGCACTAATCCGCGATGCCTTTCCGGCTAGAACCCCATTCCGCCCCGGCTTTACGGAGCTGTGGATAGGATTAGTATATGCATGTTGTATGCACATAACATAAGTATGCGTGCTATACAGTACCTACCCTATCATAGACGGGATAAGGTGGCAATCTTACCTGACGTCACGAGACCTAAAATAGAACCCCTCAAATAATTCATCAATTGAATGTTTTTGGGATCAAGGCACAACCAGCTGTCAGATGTTATCAGAGCTAATCGTACTAGATCAGCCCAGGCTTGCACGAAAACCGTATCTCGAATCAGTCTTTTAATTCTTGTGCTACGTTTCTAGATAGTACCCTGCTTACTATCTGAATCATCTGCATGTGAGTCACAGCTACCACAGCTACAAGATATGCTCCTTGCTGTTCCATTACTTCTTATCACCAAGATGATGCCCCTGAGGCTCTAAATCCAGGTCTATAAACAATAGCGGGATTACTAACGGTTGGTTTGAAGTTTAAATCTATGGGCTTCTCGATACGCGAACGTCAAATCTCAAATTTGGCCATCTAAGGACACAAATACCTATTGCTGACGGCAAAATTCGGACATCATTCTGGCTTAGATTACGATATCGGGGGTTCCCTCGTTATCTTGGTCCATTTGTTTAGGTGCTTTAGCTCCTTCGCTGCGAAGGATCCCTCAAACGTAATTGCATGTTAGAGGTCTAGTTTACTAAGCTAGGAACCAAAAGACGTTGAACAGCTCCTCAAGGTTGGCTACCTAAGCGATGTGTCAACATTTAGGCGAGGAAGGGCTATCTGCTACTTCGGAACTATTAGTGCACGATGGATCGGATGTCTCCGAACCTTTCCCCTGGGACGTCGGAGTCTTCGACGCTCACTGTCATCCAACCGACACGATGACGTCGATAGCAAGCATACCGGACATGAAAGCACGTGCTCTGACCGTTATGTCCACACGATCCCAAGATCAAGACCTCGTAGCCAATGTGGCCTCTAAGCATGGCGTTAAAGACTCGGACTCGTTTGTCTTGTCGTCTTCCACGGAAGACCGTTTAGTTCCTTGTTTTGGTTGGCACCCGTGGTTTTCTTACCAATTCTACGACGACCTCTCTGCTAGCCTAACCTATGATGGAACACCATCTGGCAAAATCTCACACTACGATAAAGTGTTAACCCCGTCACCTTCATCAAAAGATGTATCCTTTAGCGAGGGTCTTCCAGAGCCGCAGCCCCTTTCCGAATTTCTGCGGGAGACCAAGTCCCGCCTGGAACAACATCCTCTTGCCCTCGTCGGTGAAATCGGCTTAGATAAAGCATTTCGGCTTCCCCAAAGCTTGACGTCGACCCACGAAGTTCAACGCGATGCAGGTCTTACGCCCGGCGGCCGCGAAGGCAGAACACTTAGCCCTTACCGAGTGCAGATAACCCACCAGGCTGCAATTCTCGAAGCCCAGCTGCGGCTCGCAGGTGAGATGGACCGTGCAGTAAGTGTCCACGGAGTTCAGGCACATGGTGTGGTTTATGACACCATATCCAAACTCTGGAAAGGACACGAAAGACCAGTAACATCGAGAAGAGAGAGGAAACAGGTTGCTGAAGGGGCGGAAGATTTCTCCAGTTCATCTTCAGATGAAGATGAAGATTATGCCACGTTTATCAACAGAAGAAAAGAAAGGGCAGCGAAACAGGGTCGTATTAAGCAGGGACCGAAGCCTTACCCCCCGCGGATTTGTATGCATTCTTTCAGTGGTCCTGTTGATGTTGTTAGGCAATATCTTCATCCCTCGGTACCAGCAAAAGTTTTCTTTTCGTTCTCAATCGTGATAAATTGGAGCACGGGAGGTGGAGACAAAGCCGAGGAGGCAATTCGTGCCGTCCCTGATGATCGTATATTGGTTGAGAGTGATCTACACACGGCAGGTGAACAGATGGACCAGTATCTAGAACAAGTATGCAGGAAGATATGTAAGGTCAAGGGATGGGAACTGCGCGAGGGGCTTGAAAAACTGGGTAGGAACTGGAAGGAGTTCGTCTTTGGGTAGTATCTGTCCAGATATGTTTCTTGTGGTTCATCCTAGAGAAATAATCCACGACTCCATAGTATATAGAGTTGATCATGATTCATGACTCGTCACAATTTGATATAACTTCATCCGTCCTTGGTCTCTGGAACATTGCTTGCTGAACCAGCTTGAGATGACTTGGGATATCGAATTAGACTCTAGCATAAGGTCTGCTAGGACGAAAACCGTTGCCAATAGTTTGTATCGGATAGTGGCCGTCGTATAAAAAGATAAAGTTAGTATCTAGTTAGGTAGGAGTATGCGAGCAAGTCGATGGTTGAATTAGGATAAGACGCATATATAAAAAGTGGATTATACCGGGGTACGCACAGATAAGCACAATTAGTGGCCCCCACTTCCATATGCCTAGCTGGTCTGTGACAGGTAATTGCACAAAGTTAATTGCACAGAGGTAATTGCCGCAGGGAGTGGAGTACGGATTAGCACCTGCACCTTTCTAGAAGGCGTTTTCCATTTGCTTTCTATCTTCCCTGATTTCCCGCTTATTTCTCGCATATCTTCCAGTCACAAATCTTTCGGACGCACCCACCGGCCCTGTGTGCCCCAAATCTGCCCAAATTTATTGATTGCTACCTACGAAGAGGTACAGATCACAATACCCCCGAACGAACCCTCGCTTTATTTTTTCTGATAGCCTGATGGGAACACAAGCATCCATCAATCTGACGCATCTTCCATCCCGCAGTGCCATACATACGTCCCACAGCCAAATCCTTGTTACAACTGCATAGGGCCGTCCTGTCACAGCCTTTTCCCCCCTACCAAACCTTTACTAGTAGTTTCTTTAGTCGCGCCCTCTTGGCTCCTCCAAGATCAGGCGTTAGGGCCTTCGATACATCTGGTGCCTGGTGCCTGGTGTACGCAGTACGTACATACCTGACCCAAAATACCTGACCCAAAGAGGTACCTACACACGATACAGTCTTTTCACAACCTGGGGTCCTGGCTACTGGTCCTGGCAGCCTAGCTGGCCCACGCGGGAACTGTTGATATTTGCAGATTGGCGAATTAGCACCATCCCACACGCCTATTACGCAGAACTGTGGTCCCGCTCTTATTACCTGTCTTAGCTTTTTGGCTCATCCTCATAACGAATCCTTGGCTCTCGTCTTAGACAATACTACACACGAAGGAAACGAACGTCGGAGAACGTCTGTTCTGGAAAGGAGAAAGCTGAACTTAGTTGGCGTTAGCCTTTTCCTGCCCTATACGCACGGTACAGTTGCTTTGGTACAATATAGGTACATCAGAACTATTCGGGCCTACATCTACTTCATCTACTACATCTATACAATATCTCTAGGTATCTTTCAAGGTACCTACTGATGCGTTGTGCCTGTCTCTCGCCGATTAAGGTACAATACATACATTGATACATACGTTGGAATCGCGTTGTACACCCCCTTTGCGGTTTTCGAATTGGGTAATTAATTCGGTCCCAAGTCAACGCCGTTCATCCCAAACCAATCGATTGGAAAAGAAAGGATTACCGCTATAGGCCTGAAGCAGTTTGGCTCAAGGTTTAACGTTTAGTAAAGTGACACCAAAGTCTCGTTGTTTGGCTCGGGTGAGGGTTTCGGGGTGCATAGCTGGCACTTCATCGTCATACACCCTTGCTATTTTCGGACGCACCCCACACAAACGCGCGACACACCATATTCGCTTGTTGTGGTGAACAAATCTGAGCCCCAACGAGTCCCGTCCCAGATCTGCCCTCGCCCACGTCACGCCCGCGCCGCCCAGCCCTGCCAGCTGTGCCAGCCGTGGTGCTAGCCTATCGTGAGCCATGTACGCAAGCAACTATGGCCTTCCCAATGCCATTCCTCCTGCGGGATCACAATACAATGGCGGCGCCCCACACTCAGCTTCTCACAACCATCATTTGCAGCCCGGTCAAGGTCCTCCCAACCAGGTCTCGATGTACAATCAGCAGTTTCCCATGGGTACGCAGGCCGGCGTTGCTTTCCCCGGTGCTCCTAACATGATGTCAGGTCCTGGCCCTGCAGGAATGATGCAAAATACCGGTATGCCGCACATGGCCGCGGCTAGTGGTCCGAGTAAGCACCTTTCCTTGCCGTCGGGTTTCTTTGTCTCCCTAGCCACATCCTATTCCCCGTAATCTTCTATGCTGCTGTCTAGGGCGGCTGATAGCAGATTCACACATCATCTCCCGGTGTGGGAGATACCGGTGGTCGTGTAGTCTCTGTGCTTCTGTGGCTCCCTTGCTGGCCCAATAGACATGGGGACAGCTACTACTGCTTATTCGCCTTACTCGATAATGTTTATTATACCGATGAGTTGATTCGCTAATTTATACAGTGCCTAACTACCAACCGCCATACACGAACTCGCCTTATGGTGCTGGTGTCCCTAGCTCCGTCGCGCCCCAGATGAACATCCCTCCCAACTACGCGATGGGGAGCGGCATGCCTATGTCTGGTTTCCCTATGCATCCTGGGATGAATCCTCAGCAGCAGATGATGCAGCGTATGCACCCGCATCCAGCAAATACACCGGGAATGTCAACTCCTACACCCCAACGATCTTTTCAAAACCAGCCCCGTCAGAACACTCCAACTCCGAATAACGCGCCGAATACACAGCAACACCCGATGTCAACTCCACAAAATGCGCATAGCACGCCTCAAAACCACACGCCGAGCAATGCGCAGCAGCAACCACAGCAGCAACCGCAACAGCAACAGCAACAGCAACCACCACCTAATAATATCCCAACACCGCAAACCCCAACGTTCCCGACGTCAGCTCAAAATAACGGACCCAGTAACGCGTCATCTGGGTCGACACCGTTAAGCCCCGGTCCAGATTCTAGAGACAAGGAACGGGTTGGTGTGATTTTGGAGATCAACAACGAGTTATTGTTAGAGGCCATGCAGATACAAAATACGCAGCAGATATTGAAAAAGGAGAGGGCGTCCGCCAATGGCACCGATGGTACTGCAAGCGAACCAGAGAAGAAGCCCACCGAGGAAGATATGCTGGCACAAGACTACCTCCAGTAAGTTCGAATACGGTGTTAGACAGGATACGGAAACTGACCTATGATTGTAGTTGTATGCGAAGACTGCAGACAAACTTGACGTATTTGGCGGCATTAGCCGACAAGAAAGGCAATGTCACAGCTGGGCCGTGTCCCAGTTACTTAAAACCACCACCACTCAATACTAGTATCAAGTTAAGGATGATGCTGGGTCCGGATGGATCAGAGAATCAAGAAGCTCCGGACCGGAGGGAGACGGCCAAATACATCCAAGAATTGTATAAAAAGCTTCAGGCTCTTTACCCAGGCATTGACCCGAACAAGGAACCAACAATCACGGCCTCATCTGGACGACAGAACGCTCAACAAGCGAATGCAATAAAGCCTGGCTCTCGAACGCCTGGTCAACCTAGCCCAGGGGGGCAACAGACTCCAAAGATGGCCACTTCGGCGCCGCCATCTTCTATCATGAATATAGCAGCCGGGCCATAGGACGATTTAACCTGATTAAAAGCATTTGATTTCAAGAAGAGTTGAGTATAGGTCGACTTTTGAGGGCATATAGTATACGGACCTTGAAAGTTTCAGACTTGAATGGACTGGCTTCTTTTTACGAAGGCATTTTACGTCACGTTGCATCTTTGTATAGAAAAATACCCCGCTAAGATCAACGCTACGTGGTGGATATTGGGACCTTGAAGAGACATTTATGGGCGTCGGCGTTACTCTTTAGGATGGGATGCTGCTTTACTTTCGTTAGATATGGTATATACCAGAGTCAAACACTGTATAGCTCGCATAAGGTCAAAGCTTTTAAAATTTCGTGCCAAATAGGTATCTTTCAGGTTTTATCGTCTTGCATTTGTATATCATATCCATATAAAGCTAGATGTATGAATAAGACGAAATGTTATAGGCAAGACTTAGGGACGGATTTGAATTGAGTGATGGAGAACGGACGGCAGGCTTGATATATATAATGGCTACCTATCTTAGGTAAGTATAGAGAGGCTATGATACATGCCATCTGCTATTTATATTTGATAAGTACTACATGAATGACATGCTCCGATGGGAGTGCTGCTGTTTTCCCTTGCCACCACCCACCTGTTGCTTTACATTGTAACCTACTAAGATCGAGTCTTGTTTACGTATCAATGGTTTAAATACATAGTTGCTAGGTTTTGACCTCAGGCTTCCGTGGACAGTGGTAGTAAGGTAAGGCGGGCACATGATAGAAGGTTGAGTGGAGAAGTTTATGCGCTAATGTCGGGGGATTATGCGAGAAAGCGGCTTTAAGATAACCCAATCATGCAGAGCAAGTCGCTTCTGGAACTCTACCTATGTATGTATAAAACAGGGGTAGGACCGCAGACAAGCAGACTTAGGTTGGTTCATGTATGTAGGTATGTATGTATACTACATATATAAGGTGCATTATATGCTAGACCGCCTCTCACATTGAAGCAAGCTCGTGCATATTTTATCTCCATAACCAGCCACCGATATCATGTAGGTAATTAGTTGGATGGTACTTCGTAGATATCTTGAGTAGGTGAGTAGGTGAGTAGGTACTACTTAAGGAATCTACGTGTAAGCAATGAATGTAGGAATGTAATTCATATAATTTATATTTATATGATAGGGCTTATTCATAGTGGCGAGTTGAATATTTTATTTATACTATTTATACCCAGGGGGATCGTTGGGATCCAGGGTCAAATAGATTGTTTAAATAGCGGCTAATGCAGGGACGGGGCCATATTAGTGACCAATTCGTGGTTCTAATTGGATAAACGCGTCGAAGGTTGGTGTAACTCATTTAAACCGATGATACGGGATGGATGTAACCTAACGTGATAGGGGAATTGGTTCTAGTTAGACGGTTAGACCTTAGCTAAGGGCCTCCCCCTCTTTACCTTCCTTCGGCCTGTGAATGCCCTCCTTCTACTGTTAGACTTTTAATTGATATCATCTTGTTTCGTCTTGAATTATTTCTCATTCGCTCATTATATCCCTAACTAATTCCCCTACCTAAACTAATAATAATCATAATCATAATCATAATAACATAATAACATAATTCTCCAGTCCTCGTTTAATCGTTCAGCTACCTACCTAGGCTATCCACTCCTTACTACCATCAGATGTTTTCTTTAGTTATATCCACAGGCAAACTGACAGGCCCCTACCTAGACAGCCAGACTAGCAATTACCATTGCATAAACTTGAAATATCCCCTTCTAGACCAAACCCATCGTATTAAGTAACGATTTCGACCCTAGACAAACCCAAGAGGGAAACGTCTAAGCTGATTGTATCCCCGAATCCCTGAAGCGAGCCCACTCTGTCCCCGAATCCCCCTGTTTCCTTGGCGGGCGGCACCCGAAGGCTGGTAGATGCTGTAGCTGTTTGAACGAACCCATTTTGAGTCTTAATGCGTGTAAAATACACCGCCGTTACCTCGATTCGCGCTAGACCCTCTCACCGTTTTTCGAAGCCGTTCGATTTGCTTTTGCGCTGTCCGTTGTCGATGCACCGTCATACGAGACTAAAGAAAATCTAAGGTCTAAGGTCAAGGGGGGGATCACAGCTTAAGCCCTCGAGACAAGAGACAAGAGACACTGGAGTGTAGATCGGCCATTCTAGTCACCACCGACCACCGACCACCTTCGTTTCGACCCGAGAATCTACATGATGGAGGGGAATTCTGAGAACCAGCAGAAAAATGAAAGTTCTCCGGTCGATACGGCGCCAAGTTTGGCAGATTCAAGTGCACTGAAATCGCCCAAATCGCCCGTGGAGAAAGAAGAACGTAGGATGCCGGAACACGATTCGATGGTGACGGTTCGATTATCGGAGCCGCCTTCTCTATCAGTGAATACGGACCTTCCGTTGAACCCTTTGCCTTTTAGAAAGAGCATCTGGGGACACGAATGTACGCCTACAAGTGCAACCGCGCCAAGTGTACCGCCCGTAATGGAAGTAGAGGAAGGCGACATGGAAGATGTCCAAGTACATGATTTGAAATCACCCACTAGTCCTAAATCTCCGCTAAAGGACATTCAAGCTACGACAACTATACAAGAAGAGAAGGAAATTGAAGACGATCTAATGGAAGACTCGGATACAGAAGAGGTCAATTGGGACCAATTGCAAAAAACTGAAGATGAAGAAGTCAAAGATCAAGACGATAATGTATGTTGCATGCCAAGTTAAAGAACTGGTTGACTGGCCTGAGTAAGGCTAGATAGATCTACTACGACGATATTTACGACGACGATGATGCTAACATGACTCTTCACATTTTAGTCTACAGCATTACTATTGGCACGACTCGAACAAGAGAATAATAAAATCGCTACGAATCCAAAAAGCGTCAAAGTCAAGGTCGTCGAACAACCTCCAATCCGCCGGCCGAGACCACCATCGATGGCACAAATGCGGGACATGGTGAACGCTCCTCCGTCCACGGCTCTACGATATTCTGTTCTCCCTCCCCCACCGATGACTGATCTCGAATTCTACATGGCCCTCGTCAAAGACTATCAGCAGACCGCTGCCCGTCTTCCTACTTTACTATCTAAGAAGATTCGAAAAGGAGTACCACCTCCGCTTCGAGGGGTTGTGTGGCAGAGTATGGCGAGCGCCCGCGATAGTTATCTCTTGGAGGAATTTGACAGGCTCAGCGGCGAGTCGAGTCCTTATGAAGGCATCATCGGCAAGGACCTGGGTAGAAGCTTTCCTGGCGTGGATATGTTCCGAGACCCAGACGGCGACGGTCAGCGAATGCTCGGAAGAGTTCTCAAATGTTTTAGTCTCTACGATACGAAGATTGGATACTGTCAAGGCCTTGCTTTCCTAGTAGGCCCTCTGCTGATGCATATGCCGGATAGTCAAGCTTTCTGCGTCTTAGTCCGGTAAGTACCTACCTATGTTCCGATTTACTTATTTCCCGATTCTGTACTTGGGAATTGACTTGGCTAATTAACATGTTTGAAAATAGGCTGATGGAATATTATGACCTACGATCGTGTTTCTTACCCGATTTGTCAGGTCTACATGTCCGTATCTATCAGTTCCGAGAGCTACTCAAACAGCATTTACCCACAGTATCGAACCATCTAGAGGATCTCCAAGTTGATCCGGCCTACGTTTCACAGTGGTTCCTCTCATTTTTTGCGGTAACATGCCCCTTGCCAATGCTGTTTCGGATCTACGATGTTATATTTGCCGAAGGCGCGTCGGAAACGATCATGCGGGTAGCCCTGTCACTTATGCGAAAGAACAAGAGCCGCATCTTGGCCTGTACTGAGATGGAGGATGTCATGCAGCTCCTTTTATCTCGTGGTTTGTGGGACTGCTATCATTACAATGCCGATGAATTTGTCGATGATTTCGTTAGCTTATCTGGGGTCGTATCGAGAGAGAAATTAGCCCAACTCGAACAGGGGTATCGCGAGGAAAAGATCGCCAGTGCCAATGCCGCGCGAACGGCCGATGTTACCACAGCTGCCTCCCGCTTTTTGGGTCGTTTATGGGCTACGAGCATCTCCTCCCCGAAATCTGGAACTCTTTCTCCAGGTTTTGCCGCACCTTTGAGACCGTTAAGTATGTTGCGCCGAAGTGCATCGAAGCAGAGCCTGGCCTCGACATTGAATTCAATGGAAGCCAGCTCTTCTAGCGTCCTTAGTTCGGCATCTACCGACGTTACTACTATTTCTCGCGATTCCACTTCCAATGCTGACGACTCGTCAATTCGCGAATCAACACCAGTCGTTGCAAAACAACAATCCAGTCGCAATGCCGCCGACAGGAATCTGCACACTCAGATCGAAGATCTCCTTACCGCCCTTAGCGAATTGCAACGAAACCATGCACTATTAGCCACGCAGCTTCAACAAGAAAGGGAAGAAAGGGATGAGGACAAGAAGGCTGTAAAGTCGTTGCTGGACGGATTGAAGAAAGAAAAGGCCAACAACGAGACGACCCAGACCACGGAGGATAATAAGGATGTCGACGACAAAACAGAAGATGAAAGTGATGGAGGAGAGACACCTACCCAGAGTCAGCTGTCCCTATTGCTAGAAGCAGTCGAGGGTCGCTTTTGCAATGAAGGACGCGAGCGCTCCGAGTCGTCAGTACTAACTAAGACACAACTCCGCGACGAACTAGCCAGAGCCAAAGATAATCTCAAAATCGAGATGTCTAAATCTCTAGAATTCAATCGGCGCATCGAAGAACTTGGACAGGAGGCGAGCACGCTACGAGAACAACTTCGAGAAAGTCACGCTCACGTTCGAAACCTCCACCAGGACAAGCAACGTCTTGAGAGACAGGTCCATACTATGCGTGTGCGAGCTTCATCTGAGACGGTCGGGCCAGAGTCTGGAGGGTGGTTTTCGTCGGGAAATAACCTGACTGCTAACAGCGCCACCGGTAGCGGGGCTGGCCGTGGTCTCAGGGAGTTCAAGCTCGGACGTAGCAAGTCAACGCCCAACACGCAGTTGGCCTTTGGTCAGCGCTCCGGGTCCTTAGTAAGGACGCAAACGGAGCCACTCGTATCAAGCGAACATGATGCACTCATTCTAGAGCTGGTACAAGCTAAAACTG